TGCTACAACGCAGCCACTAAATATGTGTTTAGATAAAAGCTTTTTGCATGGCCCTCTAAATGTTATACAAACTCCCCTCAAGTATTCAGATGTCAGCCAGTGTAAGTAGCTGTGGATAATGGTTACAATAATCAGTTACATGGGATTTGTTCTCTCAGACCCCCATGTTTGCTAATATACCTAGCTCTTCTAGAATGATAGGAGAGTCTGTAAGAGATGCTTACTTCTTTCAGGAAAACAAAACAAAAAATCACCCTCACAGCCAGCTGTACTTTTAGGGATTTACAAAGGATCAATTTTTGCAAGTTTAAGTGGAAGAGCCAGCTCATGAGCACCACTGTTCTTCGAAAGAGTAAAGCAGACAGCTGCTGAAAAACAGGTCCCAGCAATGCCTCAGGCTGAATTTGGAAACTGCCCAGAATTCAGCTAAATCACCGCGGAATCCTTTTGAAAATTCAGACCTTAATCTTTTGTTATCATAACAAAAAGTTAAGATTAGGTATTTAGCATTCAGATTCTCACATCTGTAAAAGGACATGTTGAGAGAGTATCAGTAACTTTCAACTCTAACCTCTGCTAATGATTTCTAGTTCATATGTGCTTTTCCAACGCTGCCCAGGTAACACTTGGGTACAGTTTAATCTTCCTCTGGAAGCCTGTCTTTGAATGTGCAAATGTATACTAACCCTTTACAAACAATAATCTGAGCCAGATGGCAATGTTAAATGCTTACAGAGATACTGATAATTGCCAAAATTTTTAACAGAAATCACTAGAAAGATATTTCAATATATATTTCTGAGCAGTCTCATTTTTCCTCTTTTCAGATCACACTGAAGTAGTTTCTAATTCTTTTACCTTCAGATTTTTAGTGAACTGAGCTTGAACTCCTTACATTTTTATTAATCCTGCATAATTTTTCCAGAAATCCTGCTAGTCTTTAAATCCAAACCATCTCTCCACAAGTTTCTTTAGCACAGAAGTGATCTTGCTCTTTATACATCAGATTTATATGGTTCACAGTCACTCTGAAATCAGAAAACTCTGGTTCCTGTTCTGTTTCATTAATTGCATGGCAAAAGGCTTATGAATTATTGGAAATGGATTAAAATATGAACACATTCCTTCAAATTGCATTCTATCTTGAGACAGATTTCAACAATCATATTTCTTAAAGAGAAGCAGAAAGGAATAATAAAATATTGCTCTGGCAAGTTATGAAATAGTAAATGCCTTGCTGTCTAAGCAAGGTGCAAAAAGAGGTCCGCCTATTCCTCCATGTGAGGAACATTTCCACCTTTTTCCTCCAGAAGCTTTGTTCGCTGAAACTTTTAACAGGACTTAAACTCAAGACAGCGACACATCTGAGAATACATGCAAAGGGCATCTTGGGGACAGGAACCAAGTGAGAGCCTTGAAAACCCAGTCCTTTCAGCACAGAAGTGATACGGAGGCAGAATGGAGTTGGTCCTGTATTAGTCCATTAGTAAGGCTAAATGCATGTGCACATCCACGCATAGACAGGGAATTGGATTATATATATTCAAAATATATTTTTAAAAGGAAAAACAAAAATAAGAAAAGAAACAAGGGTCTAAAAATCTTGCCAGAATTGTTTCCATACTGCCAGAGTATTGCTGATGCAGTGTCAGCACTGGGTCCTCACTGTGGAGTGGGCCAGTGATGGGAAACTGCCCAAGAAATTGCCATCAGTTGCTGGTTACTCAATATTTCAACAATTGAAAGAGAAAATATTTTCTGTTCTGAACTTGAACCAAGCAAAGAGTGTTTTAGGCCAGAAAATCTGCTAGTTGAGACCAAAAAAAAGAATAAAAAAGTCAACCTGCTTTAGTTACTGGAGTTGCAGAACTTTTTATTTACATCCCCTCTGACTCAGCTCTCTGCAGTACAGATAACTTCCCAAACTTTGCATACTAGTCAAATCTATTCCACTACTAATTTTATGCTGGAGATGATTATTTAATTATCAGACTCCATATATTTAATCTTCATTAGCCTCTAGACATTGTCCAGCTGGATCCAGAGACTTTGAATTATTTCTGCTTCTTGGAGTCTACAGTATGATCAGACAATGCCCTTTTTACCCAAGAACTTTGCAGTTTACTTAGCTGGATAGTGATCAAAATTATGAGGCTTTTCTTGAGGTACACAAGAGTTCCTCTCTAATTCTTTTCAGGTGCCCAGCCTGTATCCCTGCTCACTGAAGTTTTACAAGTGTATTATGACATATATGATTTATACATGTGCACACCAGACACTCCTGTGGCCAGGAAATCCCATCTCCCATGGGATTCCCATTTTTCATGACCTTTTCCAGCCTTTATGGACCTGCACTCTCTTTGCTGGAGCAGTAGCAGCAGCATCACTGAGAGTCATTAACAACCTCCAATAGTAAACAAAAGAGAGATTAATCTTTTTAAAGGTTAATAGTGTTAGTGGTTCAACAAGGCTGGACTCAAAAACACACATTGAGGCTGCTGGGCCTTATCCAAAGTTGCTTCCCAAACTATCCTTGTGTATATAAGCATTTCCTTGAAATGCTAAGAGCCCTGGCCTTGAAATGGGGAGAACAGCAAAGAAAGATCTGCAGCTTGGTGAAGAGCACTGTAATTCCTATGCATACCACCAGCTATTAAATACTTCCAGGCTTCATACTGCAAACCTTCTGCCATGCTGTGTTCCGCACAGCCTGGTCCGATCACATTCTGCATAACCCCACTGGTCCCACCATGCGTTTGATGTTCCATCACTTCCTGAGGTTGTGGCAAAGCATTTGCACAGCTACATGGAGAGCAAAGCTCAGGGTTGGGATATACCCTTGCATTTCTCTGTAAAGTTTATGGCACTCTTCTTTTATCCCTGTTAAGCCCAGAGAAGACAAACTCATAAAAGGGAATTTTAATACCTCATCTGTTTTAGGTTACTGCTGTACCTTGTGCTGCAGCACAGTGGAGCACACCAGTGGGACCTGTAAACCCCACCTGGGATTTTGACATGATTCCTAGAGCAGATGGGCACTGGGGAGGTGTGCATCTGTGCCAGCTAGGGCACCTGAGACAGATAGACTGCTTTAGGGATGGCCTCGGAGAGGACACACACCAGTTCAGAGACATCCCTTGTGATACCTAATGAGAACAATTTTTATTTACAAGTCTTCCTTCTACCACTTTGCATAGAGTACTTTAGATCAGCTATCCTGCCCTGTTCAATAGGTTTGTGTTGCTGTCTGTAAGTGATGGAGATGGCCAGCTTGTGCCAGGCATTTGTGCAAAAGGTGCATAATATTTGTTTCCACTTTCTCCATACATCTGTTCTGAGCTTTGCCTGGTGCCAGTTTGCAGAATTCAGAATTGCACACGCTTTTATAAATATAAAGTTTCGTAACCAGCTTATGAAGTAGGTAATACCCATCTGGATTATGGATAGATACCAGTATTTGTCAGAACGCACAACATTGCCATCATCTAAAAAAGCACCCTTTTAACTGAATTGGTTTTCTGTACTCCTCTTTCTCTCCCCACTGCACAGTATACTAGTGTACAGTACTTACATCCCCAACTTACTCAGGGTTGGCAATATTTGGAGTTACAGAGGGCAATTCACAGTGTGGCATAAAGTGGAGCAACACACAGTGTGGCGTAGACATAGGGCAGTGGTAAATCAGAAACCGTATTGCTTTTCTCTTTTATGACGATTTCTTGCATGCTTTATATGGAGCCATTAATTTGAAATTATTCTGGAGAATTTGCAATGAAGCATACAAATGCAGAAGAGTTCTACAAAGCCATCAAGGATCAGTACTTCTGTGTCTATATGTCTGGCTTGCCCATGCGTGAGAAAGAAGACACCCAAATCTTTGCGTGGGAGGCAAGGGTTAGAGATCAGACATTGGGATTTGCAAACACCACCCTTCAGCAGCAGCAGACACTTTCCGACCCATCCTTGCACTGCTGAGATGATTGAAGAAAAAAGAGGCTTAAACACAAAGCCTCCTGGAGCAACAAACAGGGAGTTTTCTGAGGAGGGAACTGTTGGCTGAGGTTGTTTCCATGTTCAGAGAAGCAGGACTTCCAGTGCATCCTTTTAAAATAAGGAAGATGACACTAAGAAAAAAAAATTCTGTCCATTTTCTCATGATTTTGTCCTCTTTGTATTTACTGCTTGCAGGAAAACAGGGAGACATCTATGTTTCCTAAGAAAGCCTTATCTCAGGAAAGATAAAAGTGTGGACTGGCTATTGTGGAGCAGGGGAGTACAGACTTGCTAACTCCTTTGACATTCACAGCACCCACTGTCACCCTATGCACACCCAGTGTCACAGGGCTCAGTTTCCAAAAAATAAAGGACCCAAGTCTGTCTGGCATATCCATCAGAAGTTCAGAACAATAGTTCTCAATATGCTAGGCCTTGGGTGCTTAGAAGAGCATAACTAATAGAGAGCATAGAAAAAGGGATAGGTTTTAGACATCCATTTGTCTTCAGTCACAAAGATCCTAACATGCCATTGAGGAGCTTTGAGTTTCAAAGTGTGGTATATGACTCTTGTCTTGGGAAAGCAAAATAGTTTGCCATCAGCAGTGGGGGACTCCCTAGAATAGTGGCAGAATGATGTTAGAAAAGATGGTATCTTAGAAAGACACCAAAACCCAAATCAAGAAGATGAAGCTGAGGCAGGACCCACAAACAAATGCTGAGGTGCAGCCATAAGAGGAGCTCACACGCATATGCTCTCCTGTGCTCCCACAGCAACAGCCATAGACTCTCAGGGGCTCCACTGGAAATGTCCAGACCCTCTGAGAAGTACAGCATGTTGACAAGACAAATGGCAACAGCATCCTCACGCAGCTTTCCACTCCACAACTTGATAGCTTCATAGTTGTCTGCTATAACGACTGTGATCAATTACACAACTGTCACATTCTGCTCAAACGAGGGAGACAAGTAACTTAGATTCATAAATTCCCAATGGAGCAGACAATGGTAAGACAAATCTCAAAGTCCAGACATTTATTAATTTACCACAATGTACTAACTGAATACATGATAATTAACTAAGTATATAATGAACTATGGCAAGTGTAAGAGTCAGTCAGAAGATCAGCATCGTCTCAACATTGTCATCAGGGACATGGACAGTGAGGTACCTGACAACGGCCTGCTTGGCCTTGCCGATCCCTGGAGTGGAATGTGGTGCCAAGGCTCCTGAATGCAGAACTGTGCGGCACAGCGAGTGCTGGGCTGTTCTCCTGAGCACTGACCCATGTGGTGCAGGCGGTGCTGGGCTGTTCTGCGGTGCCTGAGCTGTGCAGTACAGAGTGCTGGGCTATTGTTCGGTACCTGGGCCTAGCCAGAGCTGTTAGAGATAACCGCAGAGCCACTGTCAAAAAAGATGGATCGCAACTGTTGCCATAACATCGATGAAGAAATCATGAACCTTAGATGAACTTTGCTTCATTATCATACCAAAACACACCTCCTGGTGGAAGGTTGCCCGCCTCCAAGACTGACCACGCCTCAGACACCCCTCCCTGCGCATGTGCGATGGCCTCGCTTGAGAAGGGCAGAGACCCCCAAGGGGGAGGTGGAGCAAGGTGTGTTACTGAACATAAAAGGATGACTTCGGAACAACGAAAATTGGAAGCTTCCCCACCAAGGACCACGACGATCGACGACACAGCATCAGCTGGACGCAGGACTGTTAGGACGTTCATGAGATCAGCGGTGGTAGCTATAACCTCTCCCCTCTCTCTAAAACTTTAATTTTCTCCTTTCTTTCACTCATCTCTATCGTGTGCTGTTTCACGGGCAACACAATAAAGTTTCACTGTTTTATTACTGCCATCCCGTTTGGTGTTGGTTACCTTAACTTTGCACTTTCGAGATCGTAGCAAACAAACCATCATGAGTCCACCGAGTGGACCATGACAGTAAGCAATATAGTATGCCTTGTGCTACCTAATGATAATAAGGAAAAAGGGAAAAAAGAAAAGGAGAAAGAGATAGAGAGGACAGAGATCACTGGCCTGGGTTCCTGCATCAGTTCCTGCATCAGTTCCGCCAATGAGCATTGAAGAATGCATCTGTCTTCTTTGTTTCTCTTCCCTTTTTCTTCTTTTCTTTCTCCTCAATTTATATACACTTTGCTTGGGTCCCTCCTCTAGGTTGACCTACCTATCTATGTATGAGGAAGAGTAGAGTGCTTCATAGGATGATGTAATTAGCATGATTTTGTTAATCTTCATTAGCATAAGCAGGGGCATCAACTTTAATATGCATTTTGTGGATAATGAAGGAAAGGTGGCCCTGGAAACTTTACAAGATGCACCTGAGCAGAACTGTCCTGTCTTCACAGAGCTCCCTCCTTTGGCTGCATCCTGTGCTATCCAGGCTGCCTTATCAGCTCCAAACTCCACACCATCCACCCTGTGACTATAGTTTCATTACTTGCAAGTGTTTGAGACATTCCTCAGCCCAGAGGGCCTCTGTTCACCCCCATCCCTTACCTCTTTCTCAAGCTGTTTTCCTCATTCCTTGTTTCTCACAGGCCTGTTTCTCCCAAGCCCCATTTCGGGGAGTTACAAGTCATCTCTCACAACAACATGTCAAATTAAAGTCAGATCAACCCAGGGTTGGCTATCTGCTAACTTTACATTGAGGACATCATCACAACAGCTAGATGTGACAATTCATGGCCACTAATACTTCAATATATTTCACTTCTACCAATAGCAACAGCTGGACTGCATATACCAGCTGGAGTGTTGTTGATCCCAGTTAAGTGCTATTAAGAGGCACCTACACTGTCAAGGTGAACAAAATTGTGTTTCTAAGCTCAGGATATATAGTGCCAGCCATTGTTATAGGATAAATCTGAGAGCAATATATTCTGAAATATACAAGGTTTGGATTTGGTTTCTTTTGGTGGCTAGGTTTTATTTTATTTGGAGGGAGAAGGGAGTAGATTGACACCCAAGATGTCATATTTAAGTTCAGCAATTTCTGGCAATTCCAGTGCTGGTTTTCTTTAGAAGAGCATTAATTTTCAATCATATGAATATTAATCATGTATTAGAAGATAAGGCATTAGTGTCTGTGCAATGGGAGCACTCTAAATGTTGATTTTAATGAACTATACTGTACAATGATGAAAATTACTTCTATACTTTAAATTGATAAACTGCTTTAAGAAGCAGTAGAAGTGTGAAAGAAAGAAAATTAAAGGGATGGGGTCATCCATTATGTTATGTTACACTATGATTATATTATGTTTGTATTATTACACAATATTATTGGTGTTGTGGTTTCACCTAAAGATTCTGGATGAAATTGTAACACTATCAGGATAAATCTAAAGAAAGGGAAGAATTTTACAGATAGGAAACAGAGGCACAAAGGGGCTTCTTCAGCACCAGAGGTAAGAATTAAGTATGAACCTTCTGAAGCCCAAAGAGGTGCCCTGGTAATAAAGAAAGGAATAAGCACTTCAAGGGCATAGCTCATCTGATCTAGTTTAGGACATTCTCTGCACCCAGGAGATGCCCATTTCTCCTCACTTGACTCCAGCTGGGCAGTCTCAGGGGTCACTGCAGGACCGGGTGAGCTGATGAGGCTGTGCCAAACCTGGGTGAACTCAAACTGTGCAGCATGAGGATCAAAATCTGTTTTATTTGCCTTCGCTTCCTTCTGCCTCTCTCTCTTCTATTTCTGTCTGAAGACCTGAGTATGGACTGTATCAGAGCAAAGCACACCCTGACAAAATGCTGCTCAGCTTTCATATTAACACTTAAATTAGATTCAGAACCTGCTTACAGATGGGTACCTGTAGAAGTACCTGTGGAAGTTTGTCTAGATACAGTCAGTGGATTACATCAAACTAAGGTTATGCATTTACTCCAGCATTATTCTTCCTCCCTCACCAACAAGTATCCAAAATTACTAACATAAATGTCTGAGGAAATACACATAAAATTATATCCAAAAGAACTACATTCAAAGCACAGTAAATCATGAGGCCAAGCACTTCAGAATTAGAAAATAGAAGAATTAAGTCTGTGCAATGTTCAGCTCCCAGCTCCTTCCATTTCCCTTGTGTGCCTGCTCTGTTGCTTTTTTTTTTTTCCCAAACAGCGATCTCTTCTTTGTACACTGAATAGTTATTTATACTTCTTTTTTATTCAGCGTAGTTGTTCTGAGCTTTCTACAGTTCATACCATCAAAATATGCACTGATAAGAAAGTATTTGCTTCCTCTAGGCTACTTTTGTAGCATATTTCCCTACAGCATCTGCCTCAGTCTGTCAAATATCTTCAATGCAGAGCAGCAGTTTTAGCAATGCCTGTAGGGATCTGAGTGGAAACACGTGGGGAGCTGAGAGGACACGAAGCCTGTGACTAGAACAGGGGGAGTGGGCAAGGAGCACTGCAAATGACAGGGCCCAGAAGGGAGGTAAAAGATTGAAGATGAGACAGAAGTGGGAAGAAGGAGATGAAATGGAGGAAAAGGAGGCGAAATGTGGTGTACTCAAAAAACTGGGAAAGATGAAAGGTCTAAGATGGGTTGGCCAGAGCAGATGGGAACAGGAAGGGATCTCAAAGGCAAAGGGAAAACCAGCCCTCACCAGGGTCCCAACCTTACAGAAATCTGAAGGGAGATGCTCCATAAGCCCAGTCCCAGCCACCCTGGCACTGTCCTGCCAGCCTGTGCCATCTGCTGTCCGCAGAGGAGATACACACCTGTAACACCACCTGGTTGTCCTTTTCCATGTCAGGCTTGGCCAAAAGAAAATTTGGACTTGCAAAAGGAAACAGTGAGGTCCCTTAGGCTGTTGAACAGCCCCAGTGAAGAAATAGCAGCAGTCTCATCAGGTAATTTGTTTCCAAGTAGGTAGGCTAACAGTATCAAAAGAAGTGCTTTTACACAAGTCCATCTGGAATGGAATAGAGATTTAGGAAGAGATTCTGCCCTCTCTTATAATGATACTGGTACAACATAATTGCTCTGGTCTCCTGCAGTTCATGGAAAAAAAATCGCAAGCCCCTGTCTTGGTAGTGCTATGTCAGAGGGGTAAAGGAACAGAACTTCACATCTTGCAATAGCATCCTGCATCCAGACAAGTTTTAGGATTGACCCTCTGGGATACACTTTCTCTTACAGGTGTATTATTGACATCCCTACTACACACAGCATAATTCAGGTTGGAAGGGATGTGTGGAGCTCAGAGATGATTTCAAGGTTCAGGCAGATTGCTCAGGCCTTGTCCAGTCTCATTCTGGGGTGGAGATCTCCAAGGCTGATCTAGTGTCCAACAACCCTCATAGAAAATTTTTTTCTTATACTTAACAGGAAGTTCCCCTTCTGCAAACTGTGGCAGAGGAGTATGGCTCTGCTGTCTTTCACCCTCCCAGCAGGAAGCTGAAGAACACCATCAGCTGCCCCCGCAGACCTCTTTTGTCCAATCTGAACAAAGGGACAGCTGCCCCCATTCTCTTTGGCTGTCCTGTGCTCCCACCCCACCCACGGCCATACCACCTTTCTCTGGAGTCACTCCAATTTTTCAGTATCTCTGTCACACCAGGGCATCCAACATCAGATGTAGTAGACCAAATGCAGATTCACAAATATCTCACATGGGAAAAAAACCCTGCCTCAGCCTCCTGACTATACTACGCGGTTGATGGTTCTCACTGCAAGCACATGCTGACACAGTGCTCAACTTGCTGTTCATCAGAGCCCAGGCCTTCTTGGTACAAAGACTGCTGGAGTCTGTCCCATGTGAAAAACTTTGCACTTGTCTTTTTCTATCAGCCATTAACTTTGCTGATGGCTGATATAGCTAACAGTTATTCATCCAGACAGTTAATATACCAAGAGATAAACCACATTTGACAGGCCACGTGCAATCTAAGCCACAAGTGCCACGCCACTCAATGAACCTAAGGCCATAATGCTGTCATTCATGATTTCCTTTCGTTTCATTTTTTTGTCACTCTTTTTCTATCCCAGACATGTCTGGTATGTCACCAAAAATGGTTTCTCTCATTGAGCATTTGCGGGTAGCCAGCATGTGTTTGCAATGGTAATGAATGATAGATTTGGAGATGGGATGTATGAGGAAAGCAAGTGGTTAACACTGAATGGCAAAGCCATGATCTACCATAGATGGGTTATCAGATTTTTTTAATTGCTTTTTCTAGCAATACATGTTGAAGCCTTCAAACTAAGTATTGTTTTTAATAACTTGAATGAAACAATTTTTGAGATCTAGATTGTAAAAAGGACTCTGAAAAACACATTAGCCCAAGATAAAAATGCTGTTATAGCATAGGATTGTAAAAGAGAATGTGATAGAACTATTTTGAACTTTGTGTTTTCTCTCCCATGCATATTTTCAGTCTCATCTCCTTACTAGAAAACATTACACTCACTTGATTTTCAAGTACTTTATTTTAAAATACTTCTTTTTAAATTTAAACACCACACAGAGAGTCAGATGACGATTTGGCATACACAGTTGTATTTTATTTTTAGTGTCATGACAGACAATTTCTAAAACAGGGATTCTGAATAGCTCTTTCTCATAATCTTTTTCTTGTAGTAAGCCTGTATACACAGTAAAAGAATGTTCCCTTTCTTGGGAAAGTACTTTATCTCTTATGAAATACTTCTGTATAATAACATGGGTATAGATTAATTTCAACAGGTACATCTGTAAGTATCACTAGTTTTAATTCTAAATAGTGAATACAAAGTCCTGCAAAATCTATGCATATATCCTGCCTAAAAGTTATGTGGAATCTTTTTTGCAGAATTTTTCTTTGGCAGTATATACATGTGCTTGATTATTTTTTAACCATTTTGCATCTTGTCTACATTGCTGGCACTGATTAAGAAAATCCTATTTTTTTCCTCATTAATAGATACACAATAAAGGAAAAGTACAAAATGGATGAACTGACAGATCAAAATGTTGAAAATACT